ACATTATACCAGCGTAATTGCGAGCAATGGGCGGTACACGTATAGTTTTACCGACTCCCAGCTGTACTAAACGATACGAATCATTCGGCAACACCTCGACAATCGACAATGGTCCTCGAAACTTCGGCTGTAGCTTGGTTGGCTGACCGGTTTGGATCGGCAGTCTCGACACTAATACTACATCTCCCACACTGTATCTTATCTTATGTGGTTTTCTCTTTTTATCGTAATTCTTCGCATACTCTCTTTGGCTTTTCTCGATCTGTTCTCAGATTTCTTCTTGTATTTCCTCCGCGGGTCTCCAAACGGACTCTTGTAAATTCTCAATTGCTTGCGAAAAATTATCTACTCTCGGTAGATACCCGTGAAGGACTTCGAATGGCGTCTTCCCCGTTCCTCGTGCCACTGATCGATTAATCATTGTCTGCGCTAGCAGAATTTTATCCGCCCAATCGGTTTTATCTTCCCTTTCCGACAATGCTCGCAATAGCCTCGCAACCTCGTTCTCTCCGTTAATCCGTTCGACTGTGGAAATTGTGTCGAGATTAACGTATGCTCGATTCCCTCCTTAATCAGAAAATTTTTGAACATCGTTGCTGTGAACGCTGTTCCCCTGTCTGACACCAGAAGTTCTGGATCTCCATAGTTCAGGAATACTTTCTCGAGAAACGCTATCACGTATCTCGTTTCTGTCGTTCTCACTGCCTCTAGTAATACGAGTTTTGTTAATCCGTCCACTAGAACAATCACGTGTTGCTTCCCTCTCGAAGCCGGCAGTGGTCCCATATGATCTATAAAGACCTTTTGAAATGGTCGCCGCTCGGGTCTTATCGGGTGACATAGTCCCTATTTTCCTGCTAGGTTTTTATTGAACATGCAGTTCAAGCAAGCCCGAAGATGGTATTTTGCGAAATCTTTCATCCCCTCGAACCAGTGAAATCGTCTCATCGTTTCCCAGGTTTTTCGCAGTCCGAAATGTCCCATTCTGTCATGACACTCGACCAAAATGTATTTCCGTAGTAGCCTCGGCACAACGAATGCTTTCCACGATTTCACTACCTCCTGTTCTCTGTTATTTTCTCGGTCTTCGACGATCTTCATTAACAGGCCATCGACCAACTCGTACCCCCTCGCAAAGGCTCTTTCACGAACCGATCTCGATTTATCCGGCTTCATCAGCGCGATCTTCCTTTCTTTTATATCCTCGTCTATGGCCTGCATCGATGCCGTCTCATTGTGCCGCATCGATATCGCTAGCACGGCTTCAACTCTCGAATCCGTCGGTCTCTCCTCGTCACTCGAGTCTTCCGCCGCTAACTCGAATGGTCCTCTACTCAACGCATCTACATGTGCCATCCGCACGCCCGGTCGGAACTTGACCGTTAAATCGAATTCAGCGATCCGGTCCCACCAACGACACAATTGAGTTGACCCCGACTGTGCTTTAAGTCCCAGAATCGCGCTGCAATCGGATACGACCACGAACTTTATCCCATGTAGATAATGTCGGAATCGTTCTTACGCCCAAACCACTGCTAATTGTTCTAATTTTTTCGAATGGTACCGTTGCTCGCTCTGTGACAGCTTCCTACTGATTGCGTAAATCAATCTCGGTTTCTTCTCCGCTCGTTTAATGAGCATCGCTCCCAGTCCGACCGTGCTCGCATCGGTGTGTAGCTCGGTCTCCCGCTTCGGATCGAATCTGTCG